AAAATAGCAACTTTTTTCAAAGCAATATGATACCTCTCTAAATCAAAGCTAAAAGTTGAAGATTGAACTACCATATAGGTTGATAATTTTATCATGTAAGTGCTTTGACTATCTAGTTGCCAAGTGTAAGCATGTTGATGTTGAAGCAATTGATTCAAATTTGAAGTTTAATGTGATCTTTTGACATGTTTGCAAAATTTTTGCAAAATTTTTTATAGAAAAAGTGTATGAATGCAAAACTCAAATTATCCAGGAAATTGTTAGTAGAATTGCAAGGAGTGAAAAAAATTATACACGCTTTTGTGATAATAGCAAAATTAACTTTGATTGTTATTTTGAAAATTTAATTGCATTTAAAAATTTTACAAGTATAAAAAATATTAATTGAAATTAGAATATATAAAGAAAGTAAAATTAGTGATTGAATTATTTTTTAGTCATTGATGGTCAAATTACAAATATAATTTAGATAAAATAAATATTAGTAGAATCCGTTGATGAATTTTTCTTGAATTTCAACTGCAATTGAATGCATATGAACTGGAAAAAATAACATAATTAAAAATTATTCAATCTAGATTACTATTTTCATTAAAAATCATCATTGCGATTATATTCCTTTTTTACACCTCAAATATCCAGAATACGCAAAGAAGCATAATTTGCATCAATTTATCAAATATTGTGTTGATTATTTTTGCTTTTGTGAAAATCAAATTAAATTATTTTAAATCAATTTTTTTTATCCATGCTATTATGATACATCATTTTTAGTTCAAAACCTGAAATAATTTGAATATTGCTGAAGATGATGATTTTTGGTTTTTTTTATTTCACACGCTATTTGTATAAAGATTTTCAATTGTTTTAATATTGATAAATTCAAATTTCATGCCTTGTTTAATGATATTAAAGTGATAGTTCAAACAATGCAAGATTACAAAAATAAACATGTAATTCAAAATAAAAAATTAGGCTATCATAAAAATTTTGTGGATTGTTTAAATCAAGAATAGTTTTCAAGTCTTCACAAAGGGCTATCAATTTTCTAGTTAAAAATTAAAAATGATAAATATTCTTTTTCTATGTAATCTCAATATCTGTTTTTATATTGGATCAACGAACAATCTTCTCTCAATATATCAACCAATAAACTATTTGTAGAAGATGACAATATGAGTTGTATTCATACTGAGCCATATAAAAATAAAGTTTAATTTGCAGAAATATATCGATGATAATTTTGATGATTTGAATGTTTGAAAAAATCTTAAATAATGCAAAAAATTGTCATAAAGTCAAAGAAAAGCTTTAATAGAATATACCGCTGATACAATCATAATGCAAAAGCAACAAAATGCTGAAAGATCAAATCACAAAAACAATTGGATATATCAAATGCCAAATTGTCAAAAGTTTAAATAGCTATAATGCTAAACGGATGGACAAAAAGTTTATGATAACAAAGTTATAAATCTAAGTTCAGATTGCAATAGATCGATACTTTTTTTCAAGAATAATGAGTACATATGAGACTTTAGAAGCTTATGATGCTTAAGAATAAATCTGAGATGAGAAATGAGCGCAGAAATAAATGAGGAGTATACATTGACTCAATAAGACACAAAGCAAATCCATACACTTAGTTTTTTTTTTAGAAAATTCACTTGCACAAAAAAAGCTTTATTTTATTGCAAATGGGTTTATAGTTTTTCAATTACAAAACACATATAGTCGCCAATGCCAAAATTTATTTCTATCACTCAAAGATTTACTTGTGGTGGTTCAAAATTCGATCAACTTGGTGAGAGTCTAGAAATCCACTCTAAGTAGTGAAGTTGCTCAATGCATTAGCTTCCAGGAACGAAATTCTCCCATGGACACTCTCACCAGTAATCCAAACTCTTGCAATGGATCTCAAATATGAGTTTCTTTCAATTACTCTTAGTTCTATTAGTATATATGAAAGAATAATTCAAAAATTTCCAGAAGTTAGCCGTTATATCAACTCTGCTTGCTTCATTTGCAAACACAATGAATCGCTGCCCATAGTCAAAGAGATCACCATCAGTCATTGCGTTGTTTTCTCTGCGACTCTCGATGGTATTTACCGAAGAGGTCATCAAAGCTTGCACCTGACCTAGTTGTATTCTTCAAAGTTAGCCACTCTTTCTATTCAAGCCTGAATGCAAATATACTTCAATCTATGTCAGGCGTATCAGAGATGAGTTTTGAGCTTTTGTCGTCAGCGAGTTGCTCCTAGAGTTTCACGATCTTCTCTTCCCAAAAAAAGGCTTCAGCTTTCAAAACTTTGAATTTCTTCCTCCCGAGATTTTGACTCCCTGAACTCTTTGGCTTGGACATCGTATTGAAGTTACAGTCAATGAAATGAACCAGTAAATCTCCAAAATGTTGTTTGGTGATGTAGATAAGCATGAGTCGCTCGGTTTATGATTAGCTTTCTTTCTATATGCCATCAGTTTGAATAACCAAGGCCTGAACCAAATCTTTTTGAACCAAATCCCTTTCTCCACTTGAAGTTATGAGTCCAAAGAGCTCCGTTGCCTTTGAGGGATGTATGCTTGTAGTTTTGGCCCTGCACGATTCGTGTAGGTCCTAGGACCTCGATAGACTTCAAAGAAAAACCTGTTATTCCTGCATTGTTTCTCAATGCAGGATTTTGAGTCCTTGTACCACCGGGATAATTTTGATGTAGTCCTTGCTGCTACTTCTCAACTATTTGTTCATAGGAAAAACAAGCCATGGACCTCACGGAAGAGGCTTCATAAACAACTGTTAATCTGGACCCTCTTCATCTCGACACCAACCCATACGTCCATACATAAAACAATAAATTGTAGACTGCCCTCTTGTATTGAAGTTTTGCGCCCATTGAGAACTAAAATTTCCTCTCAGTTTATCATAATGAAATGTGCTATAATTTATTCCATCATTCAATCCTTGTGGAGTATCACGTAAGTTAATATCTGCAGTCGGGGATAATTGATTCAACGTGGAAGTCACATTCCTGAGGATTTATATCTCCAATCATCTGTACCTGAATCAGTTAAATTTTCCTTTCTCCCGATCAGCGCAGCATTGGTCGGGATTAGACTCAATCCGTGATAGATTGGCCACGCAGTCCGTGATTCCCTGAGCGACTCAGACCACAGAATTGCCTCCCATCCGTAGGGATGCTTCCGCCAGTTTCGCCTCATTTATCGTTGGCCCGCAGAAAGGAGTTTTGTTGACAAATTTCATATGCCTTGAGACATTTGAACCCTACTGCTATCCAATGTACTTTTCTTGTGTGATTGTGGCTTATTCTTCTTCTTGTATGTTCCTTTTCATGAAATCGAAAAAGTCGATGAATGGATTGACTGACACGGGGCCTCTCCTGACCTTGAGGATTTGTGCGACACTTACTTTCCTCGAATATCTTGACGTCATTGAGCGGAAAGACATGCATGTCTTCAATATCCGCGTCTACGGATTCACAGTACAAGAAAGGGAAATCTATCTATCTATTGCTGAACACTATCGAATGACAGGTTAGATGCCAGCAGCCACAATACAATTTCCATTTCATTCTTTTTTTCAATGCACTGTAAGTTACATATATGTTGTCGCAATTTGCAAGAAGTTAAAACGGTGATTAGCTCAAGAGTATTTTGGGTGTGCCTTGACCAGCATAACCACTTTCATGTTGTGTCCACTGCTGTTCAAACTCGCGCCAAATCGCTATTTCTCCTCGTTGAACAACCTTTGCTGTGTCAATCAGAACGCTCGAACTTTGCCGGCAGTAACGGTAGGGAGTCTCTGTGACAAGAAGTCACCTTCGCAAGAAAGCCAAGGTAACGAGAGAAATTAGATTGTCCAATTAAGCGTAAACAACCACCAGGGACATTTTCCCCGGAACAATCGTCAAAGGTAAACAGGACTACTCGTCGTGCGATCACGATTTCAGCTATTTCCACCTGTTTGGCAAGTTCAAGATATATGGGTCATGATTCTTAGGACGAACAAGAGCAACTATGCGCATGAGTATCTTGTGATTCTATTTTGGTTAACACGGTGCGACTGTTGCGATCTAAAGCGTCTCCAGTTGGTGTTCACTGGATGTTTATATTAAGATCTAGCGGAATTCATGAGCATGTGCGAGACGTGGATTCATATACACGTTCTACAGACGACAAAAAAAAGTTCAAACTTGCGCTTATTCCGCGATTGCTTATCGCACGATTGCCCCTTACTAAAGCAGTGGTCAGCCAAATTTAACCATGGAGCTGCCTCAGATGATGGAAGCCCGACGCTTCCATCTGATGGTCAACAAACGGTGACATGACATAGTTCAAACAATACTTTGTTTCAATAATCATCCATCGGCGGTCCTTAACAGACCAGCATGTAAGTTTCTAGTTCTAATCATTCTGAATGAATACAAAGTAATCCAATACTGGATATTCATTATTTTTTGAGATACATGGGATTCAAATTCGTCTGTAAAACTGGATATTGATGTTAGCACTGGTCAGTGGAGTGAAGTCCTGATGCGAAAATCTTTAAGATTGCTTCCTTAACTCATGACACATGCGGAGGTTTAATCGGTTGTTCTTGTGGTTCTCAGGGGTTTGCTCAGCAACTTGAAGCTGCATTTGCCTGGATCGGATAACTTGTGAGAAGTCTTGATGTTGTTTCTGACACGTAGGTCAATCCCAACATGGGCAAAGTGCGTCTACTCTCTATGCATTTTCACTAGAAGAATGCAGCCATGTGTGTGTAATTCACCGTGAATTTCTCAGAGCTCCCTAAACTTGCTGAGTCATACTGATGGAAGGTCTTTGATGCCATATTGCAAACAACGAGTAAAAAGTAACATGTTGTGGAGTAACAAAACCTTATGACCACAAATGTCAAAAGAAAACAAGGAATTACTTCAGAATGATCTGACTTTGTTGACAAATCTGTGCATATCAAGAGACGGCACCCTTATCCACAGCTACAATTGAGAAGTTCTGAAATTTATTTCCACCAGCTAAATAATGCTGTGTTTAAGTGGTGGTGATCCTCGAATTTATACAAATATATCATTGAACAAAAGTACACATCCCTTCGTCTGAAGCTTCAAGAACAATTTGTCGCTTCAGCAACCCTTTCTTCTCCTGCACCTCCGCGATTAGAGTATAGAAATTTCGCAAGAAGATCGATTCTCCTCGCCGCATCCTCTATATCCCGACTGAAGATTCATTAGAAGACCAGGTTCCTGGAGCTGCGAAACGATTGAGCCAAAAAGAGGCTTTTGGTGCATGAATCAGATGCAGAAGCAGTACTCAACTCAAACACGTAGAGGCGTGACACAGTTGTAGAAGATCGCTCGCTCATCCCATAGAGGACCTATTGAAGCTCGCATCTGGAGTGGGCGGCTCCGCTGGCTCACCTCGACGCCAGGACAGTAGAGCACTAAATGTAGACCGAGTGAAATATTACACTCCAACTCGTATACTGAAGATCGTACAACTAGAAGCTAAGCACCTTCCTTCTGGCTAAAGATAGTGCTTGAGGCTCTTGATTAAGGTTAGCTGTAACTGCAGCTAGAGCCTTGAATCAGAGTACTTCATATCACGTACATATTACAGATCTGAGGTTAAGCGTGACAGTTGTGATAGACTTCGACTTCTACATGCATGAAGCAACTAAATGTCGTCACTCAAGTATGTCGGCAGTACTGTACTGTCGGCAGGTAGATCAGCTTGTAGAATGTAAGAATCTTGCCCAAGATCCTCCCAAATCGTTGCTGATGAATGCTCCTCTTTCTCTCTCTCCTTTCCCTCCCTTACTCCTCACTCACTCTACCTCCCTTTCTCTCCCTCAATCAATCATTCAATCAAACGATGAACCCCCTTTCAACGCCGGCTGTCTATCTACAAGGGCCTTGGCCGTCAGACATAAAAGATTAGACAACGAGCGCTAAATCCTCAGATCAGAACGAAGCTTAATGAAGCTTTCCGAGAAGCTGGGTTTACGGGCTAGCTAGATTCTACGATAGATATCCCTCAGATCTAGCTGATGTTCCTGCATGTGTGAACGTAAATTAAAACAAATAAAATGTTTGGACCAGATCTACAAGCCCTTCCAGTTAGATCTGGCCATGTAAGTGCTGCCAAATCTCCAGGTTCTCGGTACAGCGTTGTAGAGGACCAGTACTTTGCCGCTTCCTGAAGTGAGTCGGAAGGAAAGCGCTTGACCTTGAAGCTTTTGCTTCACTTCCCACTTCTGACCCCAGTTCTGTCTGGCTGATGTCCAGGACTTTTGCTTCGAGCCCTTCACCGCGACTGCCTTGATGTCTCCGGGCCCCGCAACATTGCTGATGAGAATCAGGTTGAACCATGGATTACCGTTCATTGTGAACTTGACTCCACCCTTCTTTACGCAGGGAACTCTGCAATTACCCGATTAGTATTGTTAGTACCTTTGACAAAATCTCACGGATCTGTGAACCATGACAAACAATGTTATTACATTTGGATGAACTGGTTACAACACTCCACATGTACATCTTTTATGCTTCAGTCGAGCGATGACTGGTTCAAATACTGTAATTATACGAGTAATACGGCTGGCATGAGCAGCTTCGAAGCCGACTCATGAAAATCGACACGGAGAAAGGTCTACATTGTCAAAGCAATTGGAGTACAAGAAGCTACAAGCGCTTGATAGGTGGGCGATCGTTTGAAACGTGTAATGTGAAGAGCACCTTCTGTATGCAACCGGGACGATTCCTCCGACATATCTAGCCATCTTGATGAACATAGGCTGAGGTAAATCGAAGTGGACCCTCGGAGGGTTGCACCATCCTCCTCTGTTCGTGGGTCGGTTCCAGTTAGCTGGACACAAGTTGGTGGCAGTGACTTTGATGTGGGGTTGTGCTTTATAACACCATCGAGATTGCTGACGATAATTGCAGAACATTTCGTAGCAAGCTCCGCAGGTCTTGCCGTTGTTGAATAATGTTGAACTGAGAGCAGCAGTTTCCAACCCATACCCGGTGTTGTAAAGGTTTCCGTATCCACAAGCTCCACCTATAGACAAACATCCGAGTGATGTTGAATATATCGTAGATCGAAACCAAATCAAAGCAACAAAAACTCTTGATTTGCGCAACAAGCAGCAGTTGGCGTTCTCTCGTATATGCATATACAAGGTGACAAAAGTGGAAGTTATGTGTATAGGACTCAACATGTGTACTGAAGATATGGACGACATTGTGAAAAGAAGATACAATTCTTCAATTAATTTGTAAATAAATGGGTGCTTAACTGTCTAAATTGCGTGTTCCAAGAAAAAAGATCGAATTACACACATTTTGGTCAATGTTTGCCTGTCCACTTACCCATAGTCCCTTGGGCATTAGATCCTCCGTAGAATGTAGCATGGGCCGCTTTCCATCCACTTGGAACTCCCGGAACACCAGCCAGGGAGCCAACGACGCACATAGATAACGTGCATAGTATAATGGCCCATTCTTTCGAGGTGCACATCCTGGCCATCCTTCTGCAGAACGAAAGCCGAAACTTGGTTCAGAACGTGTAATCAGCTAAAGAATCGAGTTTTGAAACTGGAAATCACAAACTGTTTGAACTCTGAACCAGATACTGCTGTAACCATTCAGTGAGTGCCATTTTGCACGTTGACCTGAACTACAAGCTATGCAGGCAACAACTGATGTAGCTGAGAGTACAATGCAGGTCTAACTGCCAAGCCATTATGAGATCTAGAACGATCCCACAGCAGGAGAGGATGGATGCAGAGGGATGGAATCGACATGCATACCCGAGCAACTTCAATCGAAGTCCAGCTACGGGAAGAGGATTCCAGGAAAAACTGGTGCGAGTTGTAAGCCAGTGTTTCAGAGATCGTCGAGTGTAACCTTGTGGAGAGTGGAAGAGGAATTGCTCAGATATATGTCTCGCTCCCTCTGAGAAGGAAAATCCAGAGCGCGCCTAGAACACAGTTGACTACCGAAATTCGCATGCACTCGCACGTCCCCACCTTGGGCTTTGCCGGGGGAACTTGAACTGTCAGAAGCGCCGCCGGAGCTCACGTCCCACCCAACCCACGAAATCTCTCTCCCCGCTTTGCACGATCGATCGACGCTGTAGAGGGCTGTGCTCCTCCGTTCCCACGTACTCCCTTCTCCAACACTCTTCTTCATGTCATGTGTGTCTCTGATCTCTCAAGTGAGTTACAATCCAGGCTCTTCTTTCTCCATGCTCTTTTTCTTCTAACAGTGTTGTGCTGAAATTTCTTACCTATATCGAATTAAAGAGGTAGAGTAAAGTCCACCGTGGTAAACATATTCTTTAGCTATTTTAGAGCACTAGAAGCTGAATTAAAATTCAAAATTATTCATGGACTTCATACTGGTACATCTCTTTAATTGCATTGAGGTTATAAGTCATCTTCAGACGCAAAGTAAGTCAAAAGGTTTGCAAATTACGAATGCTTGTGAAACATATATAACCATCAAATATTTCCTTTAATTTAATTCCAGAATAATTATTTCCTTAAGAAAAAATTTCAATTCAAAAGTATCTTGATGATTTATTCCGATTAAAATCACATTCGAAAGTTTCAAACCTGAGATTGGCATGACTTCGAAATATATCAATAACAGGTTGTGCGTAAAGTGTAAACTTGAGGCCAATCACGCCCATTCTGATTCAATTTAATAAAGGGATAACAGTAAATTGTGACAAAAAACTAGGATTCAATTCTTGGTGAATATGAGTCATTAAAAGTCCTAAAACATTATCGCAATACTGAAGAGATGAGTTTTAGAAAATTATGTGCCGGATCGCTCCATGTTGCACTATGGGAAACTGTTGGTGACCCGGAAGACATACACACAGTGTGTCTCCCGGGAGTCACTCCATTAGAGACGAAGCCAGTCTTGCATGCGGAGAAACGAACCTTCAGTACTTAGAGTAGGGCTCCCTTCTGGATCCGTCAAGCAGAATTGCAAGAAGAAAACTTGTCTCCGTCTACCCTTGACTGTTTCTATCACGTATGTACTTGGCAAGGACATTTAAGTGTTGAATGCCTTGTTATTACGAGTGTCGCCATTCAGTTTTACCTGAACGAGCAATTTACCGGAATCAACAGATATGTACCTTTTGTTTATAAGGTTCTTTTGTGCCAGGTACTTAACCCTTGTTTCCGCTGCCGGACTATCGTAGGTTGAAGTAAGAAGATTTGCATCCAGCCACGTTCGTCGCCGAAGAGAAGAAAATTGGAACATCCTGTTTCGAGAATTTGAAAAAGGAGGACGGTGAAAGGATGAAAGTAACGCTCAAATTACCTCGACCGCAGAATCGTCCATATCGTCCATACTTTTAATAGGTGAGATCAGTTCAGTATACTGCTGCCCGATTGTGGGCATCTATAATTGGCTCCCCGTACTTTCTGTACTCCCTGTACTTCCCGTGATGTCCTTGCGTCGTCCACTCCAAGATCACCGAACCGACCTGTTAGTCCAACAGCTTACCCCTCCCCGTAATGTGCCATCCCAGTTCGCAAAAAGTTCACTTCCTCGCAACCCTGTGTCACTGAACTTACTTCGTACCCGGAAGCTTAGAAATTACTTCCTCATAACCCGGGGCATGGAAGTGCACGGGGGCATCCGGTCGTGATCCATTGCAGACGGCGAGAACATGGTTCGCATAGTCTCATCGCGCTCATTATCTTGCTAGACTGGAAAATTCCCGACCCACTTCCAAGCTCGATGAACGAGAACGAGAAAGGTCTTTACGGGAGTGAAGATTATGTGCTATTGTATAGCAAGAATTCAAAATCATCAAAATGGTGAATTATTTAACTTTTATATTTATCCTCTCACTTTCTGACTGTAGTTCGTCAAAGGTGCCCCCGCAGACATTAATCCCATTTTCCAGCTGCAATGATTGTTATTCTTTAGCGTCACAACCGCAACGGATTCACATTGGGTTTGGACGCGGGTCTGCTGGAACGAGGAAATATAATCTTATTCAACTAGTCAAACAAAGTGCATAATCCGAACTGTCGAATTAGTCTACCAGTTGAGGCTGTGATCTATCCTCTAGTTATCTCCTGAGATTTTCATTCTTGATCAGCTCATTCTCATCAACTTATTCTATATTGGATTTGTCGATCAGCAATAATTTATGTTGGAATCTGAAACTGAAATTATGTCCCTGCAGTAAAAGGAGTACTCTTCCTGCAAGACAGTGCTGAAGCGAAACTAGTGGTGAAAATATTCAAATGGGTGCAACCGGATCCGTCTCACTGGACTGAGTTCCAGGATGCTATAGTCTGGACTCTTGTTATTAACGCTTCGTCCCTGTTCAGTGACCCTTGCAGCACTCTCGTGACCTCCTGACTGCTAGGGGTGTAAGGAAAAAAAGTTCAAGGTTTGGGGTATGAGGGAGTAAATAAGCTTTCCCAGGGCTGTCAGCAAGTAAATTTCTGCAGTGTGAGGTAGGAGGGCAGGCCGCTTTCTTACTTTCTGCAGTAATTCCAGGTCATGTTGATGCAGCCAACCTCTTCTGCCCTTGTGGGAGGCGTGGTCTTGTCTTGAGCTCAGTGCTCTCTTGAGCCAGAGGAAATTGTGGGATGATTGATGCCTTATCCTCCGTTGATGTGAGTTACTGGTCTTGTTTGGATTCTCTTTTCCCCTCATCTGAAGAAAGTAGCACATGCTTATGCAAGCTAAGGAATGCCAAGCTTTTCGCCCTGTGTCATGAGTGGAACTTGGAGTCTGTTCCATTCTAGAGGAATCAAAGAAGTTTGTCTTCTGACGTATTTAAGGAGTATTGTAATTCAGTAAACGAAGAGATGTATCCCACAAGGGGAGAAAGACAGAATGGTCATGCAAGTCCCTGTCCGTTGCACTGCTCATTCTCGATCATCAAATCATCATCGGCATGTCAGGAAAAGGCTATGTATACTGGTGAAGAACCAACAGGGAAACATCGAAGGGACAAGGTATCCATGAACAAGCAAGTTTGTCCGTCCAACCGTGGTTGAACATTTTGAGACTCATTCTTTTAACTTACCTCGCATTTTTTCACACGACTCGAAAATTTTATCCTATAGTACTGCAGGAGAGTTAGGTCCCTAAAACACTTAACTTAATGTTTGGTATTGTACCATTTTAATTTGTACTGCAGGAAGTAGGTTCTCATACTTATTCCATACAGCCAAGTAACATATCTCTATGATTTAACCTCATATTCTGTCCCGTGAAAAAATACAAAGGACAATTAAAAAAATCCCGTTCTGCCAAGTGAAAGACTGTTCCAAACCCTAGCAGTCCCACAAAAATTTCTCTATGTCTGCAAGTTTTCGGATCTAGAAGATTACAACAATAGATTATTCCACAAGAATGATTCAGGGAAGTTTAGGTTTAGGTTTAGGGTTCAGTTTAGTTTAGTTCTGCCTCCCAACTCGGCCCATTGCCCCGAAAAGGTCTTGACTGATCTGCGCCCGAACACCGTTTTGGCGCAAGTTCTGTCTGGCTAACGGGCTTTCCTAACCCTAAACTTCCTTTCTGGTCGGATGGGTTTGGCGGAACCTTTGGCCGCACCTTACCCTCTTCATCTACACCGGAAACTCCTTCCTTGACGTGATGCGGTCATACCAGGGCTACTACACCAGATCCCATCATAACTCTGCAGTTAAGCACCCTTGGGCCGGAATAGTACTGGGATGGGTGGCTCACACCACAGGAGAGTAAGAAGCATGAGTTGGATGCGCAAGACAAATCGGAGAATACAAATGCAGCAGGGAGCAGCTCGAAAATAAGTATGGGACCCAATAGTCTTATTTGTTGTGTTCAAGATATATTACCAAGGGAATAGAGTACCCCAAGAACCTATATTGCATTAAAAGTGAGTTTTGTCTTCTAAACTGTGCTATGGACAACATATTCTGAAGAGCCACATGAATAGGATGATGTCAAACTACCTTCTTCTATCAAATTCACATTTCTATCTTTTCTTACACCTGCTCACATATCACGAATTACGAATATTGCAAGAGGCAATGTATTTCCTGACTGGGATCCCTTCATTAGTCAAAGACTAGGGAAGAAGCTAAGTAAGCCCGACAGTAACACACATGATCATCGTTTTTGGGCAATTCACAATCTCTGTCCATTATAAGCATCTCATATCAGCTTTACTCAATTGTGTGGATTGCATGCATCTCACATCAGTTTTACAAAGTCCTGTTTAATCTTGTGGAAAACCTTGTCATCAGTCTAATCAAAATTATACACTTAGTCCTATATGCTGCCTCCGCACTGTCTAATATCTATGAGGAATAGATCAAATTTCCGATTCTTGAATAAAGTGATGATTTTAAGTTCTATCTATTGCCCGTTTGAAGCAATGTTATCTCAATGGAATCTTATACATATTTTTTATATTTTTCTTGAAAATAATAGAATTGTTCATGACGTCCACCAACTACTTCAAATATTGGATCTCCATTCTGATCCAACAATGAAACATGATTTCACAATACATGTTCGCAAGAGACTCCAAACAAGTGGATGGCTACAAGTCAACCCAATGAAAGCTCTCCTTGAACTCCTTCATTATCTTCCAAAGTTGCATTTTCATTTTCTACAAACCAAATCTTTAAACAAAATCTTACACAAAACTTGTAAGGTGCAAATTTTTACAAGATTAGTTGAACTTCTTCAATGATTCTAATTTGACCTTATATGTAGACAATTGTTTGTCAATTGCGATTTCAAGGAAAACTCTTGCCTTGTAAAAAACTGATCCAAAAAATATATTTTATATTACAATGCACGTATAGATATTCTGGATGTAATCAAGCCTCAACTTATTTAATTTCATAGTAACAAAAACTAGCAAAAGTTTTGCTGAAACTACAACAAGCATGCCAACGATTTTACAATCTCCTTTGTGGCTTTGATTTTTGGCCAATAAGGTCATCACAACACCATAATCATTAATTTAATGGTTTTTTTTAAATTCGCAAGTTAAACAGGAATTCAAATATTAAATAGGAAAAATATTAAAGTAGATGGGTCTTCCATGTACAACACAATATGTGTTTTAAAATTGCAACATCAATACCATTAAAGTAACATTTTTCTTTGTG